TAATACCTATGTAAATTTAAAGTGTTATTTGTTATACGTTTGTAATACATTTCTGAACATTAGATGAACAATTTAAGCTTTGTGGAAAAAGATTAATTCAAAGATATTTGGAATGAGCCTATCCGGGTATTATTGATAAAAAGTTTAAAAGAAAAAGGGAGCAACCAGTAGGGAAAACGGCTACTGTGCTTCTGATGTCTGATCACTGTGTTTTCTGTCAGCAGTCAATGTAGTCGTCCACTATTTAATCTAAAAGCATTTTGTGATTCCTTCTGCTGACAGGATTTATAATTTTATAAAATACCAATAACTGTGTTAATGACCAATGTATGACTGGCCTGACAGAGAGTGGACATCCAGAATATTTAAGGTATATAAATACATTTATTTTGAGGAAGATAAGAAACAATCCAGACAAACTTTAGTCCATTATCAAACTGTAAAAGCTGTAAAACTGTAAAGTAAACAGAATACATGTCAATATATTTACTGTTGTAAATATTCTGTAAAAAAAAACAATTTTATTCAGATTTTATAATATTCCGATTTAGTTTTCATTAAGTCTAAAGTCAAAAATCATCAGTACCAAAATAAATAAATCCATCCATCCGTCCGTCCGTCCGTCCGTCCGTCCGTCCGTCCGTCCGTCCGTCCATCTATCCATCCTGATCCACATACCTCCTCCATTCATCTTTTTTGTAATTAATCTACGTAATGACCTTCACTTTTTTATTTATATTAGTTGAGCAAGTAACTCTTTGTTATTATTTTATTTTCTAAATGGTCAAGGATCCTGGGATTGTTCATGAGCTTTATGCTTTTTAAAGAGCCTTAAGAGGAGGAATTTAACTGTTGATAACCAGGACCAGAAACCTAGAGCTGGGTGGTAAGCATGAGGAGAGGTGTGGTAGTTACTGTTGCATCTTAAAATAAATATTCAAATTTCAAAGCCTGTGAAAAAGAAGCTTCAGTTCTTAGAAAACATTTAAATTAAATATAACGCCTTTCAACAAACAGATCTAATGGATCTTAGATTACAAGAATTAGTAAGAGTTAAGAACCGTAATGATATTTGAAACCTTTTTTTTGACCTTTGTATTAGACTGTATTGCTCTGCAGATCCGGTCCTTTTCAGGCATTAGAACAGTAACTGTTTATATAAACAGTTTATGAGCCTTAAGGTTGATTTGAAAACACAGACAAAGGATTTTTTGTCTGAAAAGCTTCTTCGGCTGTGCTGCTCTCTCTTGATCTAAAACGGGACGCGTTTGTGAGGATGGGTATCCATGTGCTGCTCACACCTGGCTAAAAAGCACCCATCAGCTTCCACCACACATGAAAAAAAGAAAAGAGAGGAGTATGTGTTGTGGCAGAGAGCTGGAGGGGGGGCATGAGCTGTTTTCACACTTGTCTGAGGACACACATGTCAGACTTGTTCAGTCCCACTGGTCAGAATTTACTTTTCAAAATGGCAAAGTTTGACCTTTTCAAAGTGGGAATTGTGTGCCAGATGTTTATGAGCAGTCAGTATCTTACCTCTGCCAGTAAGAGAAAGACTTTAAAGCTAATTCTTAACCTGACAAAGTGATGCTAAAGTTGTCAATCAGCTGACGGCTAGGATTTAGTGGGGGGTTCTATAATAATCTAATTTCATCAGCATTAATCCCCATTCCAATGTTTTGTATGCTCACACCAAGGGAGGGGCCTGCTGCTTTAAATTACAACAAAATTAAGCTACTTTTTACTTTTTTTTTAAATCTTAGGACATATATTGGCTTATCTGAAATAATACTCCTTATGTGAATCTATACATGAGCAATTAATACTACGACTCATACAGGCACCAGCTAAGAGCTGTTACATCTCTGCACCTACTGCATAAAATATATAACAGCTAATAAGCTTTTATCAAACAGTTACAATACAATCAGAGGAAACTGAGGAAAGAAAATAAATAACATAAATAATTGGCTCTGGTGCTGCTGATCTGCTGTTTGACGTAAACTAAAGTTTTTCATGAAGGAAAAAAACTGCATGTCTGCAATGTGGGCAGCGCCGTATTTACCGTGAGAGATGCTTTTTTTGTTTCCCTTGTGGGGCTGATCTATGACCCAGTGGCTTTTTTCGCAGTTTAACCTCAAACTATTTCTGACTCCACGTCTGTGAACTCTTGCATATAAGCACAGATTCGTTACTTATACTGTAGTGGGTATAACAGACAGGTTGGGTTCCAGTAGTTATTTAACTTTTTTATTTCTTTTATAATTTCTCATCTTCTGTTCTTGTTGATTACCTTTTCTTTTTTTCTCTAACTCCTTATCATCTTTTTATAACTGTAGCCTTTTCAATGTGTTTCCTAAGACAGATACAGCAACAATGTCATTAATTTTATTAAATCAACCGTACAACAAGGAGAACGTGTTTTTTGACAATCATATATCAGATTATCATATAATTAACCGTATATAAATATATATATATATATATATATATATATATATATATATATATATATATATATAGAGCCTTCACTGTCACAGAACAACGGAACGTCTGAAATTTGCTTAAACTGAGCAACTAAACATTTTTCTTCAAATTCCTCTAAGTCTGGCAAAAAAGATGGTGAATGCTCTGAAATATCCAACAGAACCCCATTAAAAAAAACAAACAAACAAACAAAAAAGCGACCTTATCTATCCCCCGTACAGAATGTGACAGGATTCCAATAATCTGCCAGCTCCATCTACAGAATGCCTCATCATTCGATTTGACTGCAACAATTTGGAAACTGAGAACAAATGGAAGCACAATATCATGGCCAGGCCTTATATAACTGCACGCAGCAGTTAGACCTTATGAACAATCGTCCCTGTTTCTCTGCATCTCATCAAACACACATCAAACAGAGCGCACGTGTACAGCAAAGGCGGCCTGTTCATAAGAGACAAACATCAGAGCAGCACAGAGAGCAGCCAATGCGTGTTTGCGACTGTTTATGAGTCTTATTACTAAGCCGAGGTATCTCAGAGGGACATCTATCCCTGCGTGCTGCTCAGGATTACATCCATAAATACATACATGCTTGTCAGTGAGGGAGTCAGAAGTGTTTGTTTCTATGAAAGGGATGACACAGCCATGTTATCGACAAGCTAGGTCATGTTAGATGATACAGAAATAGAGCGGATAAAGTGCACTTTATTTGCAGCGAAGCAGAGCACGTTATGGTAAGGGAGTTAATAAAAAATTGATTTATGAGGACGTCCTTTTAGAAAAGAGAACTAACATGAGAAAAGAACAAAAAGGACTAATGTAACCCCGTGACTCATGCTGAAAGTTAAGCCGTTTCTTCATCACCCCTCCCAATATTTCATGGGACAAGGTCACAAGTGAAAATAAAAACAGACAATTCACAAGCTCTTAAATTACACATCCCGTCATTTGGAGCCGTTTGCAACTCAACCTTGCTTTCATGGATAAATGCACCAAATGCCCTTCTACAAGAAAGCACTAATTGAAGTGGGGGGGATTTGTATTCAGCAGATGAAACCAGAGTTAAGAAAGGGGATACAAAATCCAGCCTAGTCCAGCTTAGCGGATAAGACCACCAACCTCCCTGAAGCAGACATTCTCTCCTACTATCCCTCCTTCCGAAATTACAAGACATTAAACTAAACCCTCCTTCTGCTTCTGCAATGTCAAAATCCCACAACCGGGGTAACCCTTCTAATCAGGATGTGCAGAAAATGTGCAGTGCTTCCCATTTCCCGCTCTGCAGAGAGGACAGCATTACAGAACGTGCCCAGTTGGCTCATGACTGCTTGACCCAAATAAAAACGCTAATCCTCAGCAAACTGGCTCAGACCTCCACCACATTCACACATAGGCACGTGAATGAAGAGGAGTGAGCAATACCCACAAAGGGTCAGGAGAGCAGAGATAGACATGCACAGTTTTACCGTTAACATTGCAAACAGAAGAACCATATTGCTCTGGAACAAACCTAAATTCAGACTGCATTTGTTTTTCACATGAGCGCAAAAGTTTGATATTTTTAAGATTATCTTTTGAGGCTAATACACTTTTACAGCTGAGATTTTTAGGCTTCACTTTACCACATATATGACCACCTAATGAAAAAATAGAGCCAAGTTGGGTTAAAGAAAAAGAGGAAAATATACTTGAACTCCTCCACTTGATGCAGCGACTAACCCCTAAACAAAATGAAACAATTTCCCTTTTTTCCAGGGGTGAAATTCTCAGACATAGATAAGCAGACTCCAGTCCCAACACAACCCAGGGGGCACTGGATCTTAAGTCTACTCTAGATCTAAAACCTGAATGACTCCTTCAGCAGCTCTGAAAGCTTAGAGATCTGGTCCGCTGTTTCGTGGCCATGATTAAAGCTAAGCTGTTCTTCCACCTCTCTGCATGGAGTCACCTTTCCAGGAGCAAACTTTCCCAGGGAAGCTAAGATGGTTGATTCCCAAATAGCTGTTTTTGTTTCAGTAATTTGTGCAGGAAAGGTGTCCAGCCAGAGTTGCTGAGGCTGTGGAGGAGAGAATGGCTCACTGAGGGCCGATTTATACTTTTAGAAAATGAGAAAATAGTGCAAAGTAAAATCAAAACAGCTCTCCCGAAGCCCGGTTTTTATCTGTAAAAACATTCATTTTAGGGTGTGTTACACTAATGAAAGCAAATTCATACATGTCGACTATTATGATCTGTTTAAACCTAAAGACATTTAATATCAGCGAATCACTTGATGCCATGTGAAACACAAACTGTTTCAAAAAGAATTGTACTTTCAGTCTAATACAGAGATAAATATTAAGATTAACAAAGTTTCTTGTCAGATGGGAGGGATTTCCTTAAAGTAAACAGATGAATGACTCTTAATTATTCATTACAATTTTTCGATATTTTTGTGATTTAAAACCTTAGAAATCAATGTTTTAAATTAGACAATCTCACATTGAAATGAACTGAATTTTTTTTCTCACCCACAGCTGGAGCATCATACTCCTCTCCCAGCAGGATTTCCGGAGCAGAATAAGCCAGCGACCCGCAGCTGGTGGCCAACATCATCCCCGGCTGGAATAAATTGCTGAATCCAAAGTCTGTCAACTTCACGGCGCCTTGTTGGGGGAAGAACACCACGTTTTCCGGCTTCAGGTCCCGGTGCACCACGTGCAACTGGTGGCAATACGACACCGCACGCACAATCTGAGCAAAGTGGCGCTTGGCGGTGGCCTCGGCCACGCCGCCCTCATGGCGCAGGATGTAATCGTAAAGGTCGCCGCCCTCAGCCAGCTCCATGACAAGGTAGAGAGTGGTGGGGGTGTCGATGACTTCATAGAGCCGGACCACGTTTGGATGCTGCACCAGCCTCATACACCTACAGATACATAACAAGAATGAATACATTTATGTTTTAATCCATGAAATACCATCAGAAATAATAGCTCACTGAATACGAGAATGTTTTTGTAGAATGGATGTAGTATTTTAATGATAACTTTTATCAGACAGCAGTTTTCATTGTAGTAGAACATTTACAATAAGGGTTATTTGACAGAAATATTTCTGCAAATAATATCCAACTTTATCAAACTTCAGCTGCTTAACCTTTTTATTTACATTACTATCATTAAAACTTTACACAATGAATGTTATATTAATTTACACAGAAAATCAAACTATTTTCATACAATTTTCCAACCTGTAGACAGGTTATGTCTGGTCTGAATCAATGGATATGTTATAGTTTTTCAATTGGGTTCAGGAAGCTTAAAGGTCCAGGAGGAGAAGCCCATCCTGTCTCTGGGTGGCATCTTGATCAGGATAATCACCCTTTCAACCATGAGAAGCAGGAGCTCTTTTGTTATCTCTAAGGCAGAGCCCAGTTGTGTTTCCATTCTACCCAAGAACTAGGTATTTCAATAATCAATCAGAATGAGGTGTCAACATGGAGTTACTAGCTATTGTCTGCTCTCAGGAGGTACCAGAGTCCTGATGATGCATGTCAAAACAACCTAAAGCTCTGCGTTCAGGTCAGTCTGACTCTGACCTTTAAAAGCGCAAGTCAAAACAAAAAACTATGTTAGAAGCTATGAGTACTATGCTAACTTTAGCTTATAAAAACAATAACATGACCTGTTTGGTTGGTAAGCAGTCACTTTCAGACTGAACAATCATTCAAACATCTCTTTGCTTTCTTAGGTAGGTCCAGTTTTGCTCTCCAGCTCATTTGATTGTCAGGTGTGGAAGGTTGTTACTATTTTAAACCATATTGCGATTATTTTTGGATTTTCCTTTGCACTAGACACAATCAGGTAAATGTTCCACTACAGAGTTTTGGTCTTTTTTCATTGACTTGAAAGCTTGCTTGCCCAGAGTTCCTTGTTGCAGGATGTTACTCTAATGAAGACGTAATAAATTCTACTTGAATGCATGAATCCGCATGCTTGCTGCAACTCTTTCTTTCCTCCTGTGCGGTTGCAAACCAACTTTAAGCATAGCACCACCACCTAAAGACCTGGAGTGAGAAAGCTAGTTTCTTAGTCTTGTTCAATGTAATATGACTAAAATTGAACGCCTTCCCAATTTGAAAAATTGCATTTCGTTTAATTGTGATTATATTGCAAATGCAATGAACTCCAGTTGTTACATAAGTTTCTTAATCTTCTTTTCCATAGAGCATGAAAAAGGGGATCAATCAGCGCTGAATGCTGTTGCTAGGTATTCATTGTTTTGTTTTTATCTCTTTTGAGTCATCATAGCAACATCCTGTTCAGCAGCTGGGTCTCTAGGCCACTGCCTATGAAGCCTATGGCCAGAATGCTGGCATAAATGTTGCCCTGGACAAGACTGTCTTTTTGCGCCCCTGATAGATAGATAACCGTTTCTTTAATCTGTTTCGGGTTTCACTCTAATGCCACCCTGGAAAACTGCTCAATGGATTTTGCAAAACAAAATGATCTAGTTTTTCCTCAAAAATATACAAAGTGAATAAAAAATGGTTATATATAAAGTTTTAAAGTCAGGTATGAACACACATAATCCAGTTTATAACACAATGTAGTCAAGTTTAGTTTGCTTTTTCAGAGTGCATTCACGAGGCCTGTCTGGTTTCAGGTCTCTTCTCTTGATGTTCAAAACTTGTAAACTGTTTTTTCTTCTTCCACTCAGATGTTCTACTCTAATGTCAAATCATCTCTGTACAAATGTAAACATCCCAAAACAGCTTTAGTAACCATGCCTCAAGTCCCTGGATGACGTACTCCAGGACTCTGGGCTCTAAAACGCTCCAAAAGTTTGGTGCGAAAGGACTTTAAGGAAGCCCTGGCAAGCGCATCACGACACTGATGTTACAGCAAGAGTGGGGTGACAGAGGAGAGCTGATTGCATGAGTCAGGAACTCCCTCATACCAAGGATGCATGCTGTTACAGCAGAAAGGAAGAACTTTTTTTCTAAACCACATCTTCAGTATCAACAGGCCCAGTAAATGCTGCACTCTTCTGAAAACAACTGGAGGTTTGAGAAGACAGAGTGAATCAGTTCAGGAACACAGAGCCAGTTAATGGACTGTTTCTCCTCTTAAAATGAAATAAAAATGAAAAAAAAAAAAAAAAAAACAAGCCATAGATAGCAAACTCTTTAAACCTAAATCAATCTGTTGGTATCCCACTGCTAAGCTAATTTAATTTACAGCAGAGTGTATGGTGCTAAAATTCAGGCCTTTTGGGTCATGTTATTTCCTTTCTTGAGGAAAAAATATACGTTTAATTACAGGGAGTTTTTTTATTTCCATTTTAAAATTGTCTGACTTAGGTCAGCTGCTGAGGTACAAAAAATTTATAAAAAAGCAGCAAACGGTAAAGCTTCATTATAAAAAAAATAAAATCATTAACAATTAATTTGTACTTTATCATTCTCAATTCTTATGATTATCACATATTATCTGACTTGGACAGCTGTATACATTCATTTAAACTGGGTCTCTCTTGAAAACAATAACATATATTTGAACTAATTTGATACTAAATATCTATTAATAATAATTTCTTACTTGACTTCCTGTAAGAGGTGGCTTGTTGCCATGACGTCCAGCTTAGTCTTGTCGATCATCTTTACAGCCACCAGTTGCCCTGTGTTGACATGACGGCCCAGTTTCACCACAGCAAAGTGGCCTCTTCCCAGCGTCCGGCCCAGATGGTAGAGGCCGCTGAGATCCAGGCGACCGGAGAAGCCTTTGGGGTTAACAGGCCCATCTAAGGCTGGGGTCAGGTCCCCAGAGGAGTCCATGGTTCAAACAAAAGAGAGGAGGGAAGCTGACTGTCGATGTTTCTGTGATGCAAAAAGCTCCTCAATGCTGGGGGGTTGCCTAGCATAAAAAAAAAAAAAAGACAAAACAATTAAACAAAATGACTGAGACTAATTTTGGCCTACGGCCCAAAGAAAGAAAAGGCTTTAGACGAGGTCAGCTGCTGATGTTAATGCCCTATCGCTCAAGGCACCAGACCAAAAGTAGACCAACGTTCCACTTCATTTAACAAAGGCACAGACGACAGAACACGTTTAGATTAAGCACTGAGACCGGATTATAGAATTATAGTATAATCTGAGCAGCAGAGGGAGAAATATTCTGTTCTAGTCTCTTATGTTCGAGGGCTTCTGTTTGAGTCCATCTCAAATATCGTCCTCCAAAGCACAAATGGTAAGTTGAATCAATACTGTAACAAGAAACCGTAATGTATAATGGGGCTCATGTGCAGGAGAGCATGTGTTTATGTCAGAAGATGACATTAAAACCTGGTGATGTCATCATAGTATCTCCCCCCAGGGTGGTGAGTTCTTCACCATCATCTTCATCATCACAATGATCAGCAGCATCATCATTGTTTTTATTTGTTTACCCCAGAAAAACACTCATAAACCTTAAGGTGCTTCTTTTCTATTGAGCTGGTTGTGGAAAAAGGAAAAAAAATTCTGGCTGTTATGAAGTACGGTGGAGGATCAGTGATGCTTTGGCCTTTTCTTTTTCTTTCAAAGAACTTCATAAAGCTTTTTTTTATATTCCTGGTTTCTAACAGATCAGGAAATTGGAAAGTTTAAATCCTGTAGAGCAAATTATATCAAAATTAGGGTTGCCAATTTACTGATATCTTAAACCTGATATTAGTTCCCATGAACGGGTACAATACAGGAGGCTAGTTTTGATACCATGTGGATAAAAAATATTAAAAGGCATAAAGAATACTTTTATCAAGTAATCTTTTTTTAATCTCAACATGGGACAAGCTTCTCTCAACAGAATCACAGATTGTTATATAATCACAAAATCTTTCCTAAGATCAAAACAAAAAAACTCTTCTAGAACATTTTCATGTCACAAATTCGACATTTTAGTCAGTTTTGTTTTCTGAGCTTGTTTTGTTTCCCAATACAGATTTCTTTCAGTGGTAGTTTATATTTATTTTCCTTTTTTGGGACTTTTTTTTAAATGTCTTAGATCTCGTCTGGGTTAGATTCTGACATCATTTGTGCAAATATTCAGTGTACTTTATACGTATGTTTATGTTTTGCAATCTTGCAAGGTTCATCCAGGTATTTTATTCCTCTAAGCTGTGATTTTGCACCACCTTTTAAGGCTAATGTCCTTGTTCTACAAATAAATCTTGAGTAGCACAATCTGACTGCAGACGTTCTCCATACAGGAGCTGCAATTTTTAAATGAGTGTTGTGTCTAAAATGTAACTTTACATTAGTTTGTGGAAACCAGATGTACAGATCTACTATTTTACTCTACAATGAAACAATTTTTCTGTTGGAAAGAGCAAACAGCCATCAAAGACAAGATAGAATAATCTTGAAGAGACTGGGATAAGACCATCGTCTCTCTCAGGATTCAGCTCTATGTGAAATACTGTGTAACCTCATGGGTTTAGGTCAATCATACAAAAGGTAAGGGATCAGACCACAACTGCACAAGAGATTATTAATGATCTGAAGGCAGCTGGAAACACAGTCACCAAGAATATCACTGGCAACAATCTATAATGAATTTAAATCTTGCAGACACTCTTTATAAATGCCACATTTAAAAAGATGCCTAAGAATTTGAACATCGAAGCGATTTAGAGGTGAAGGAAAAAATACAGTAATCAGACAAATAGCCAGAATGGGACCATAAGAGGGGTTTAGTCCAGCATGGTGATGAAAGAATTATAGTGTGGTAGTATGCATCTATTAAGGATAGAGAATACATTTATTACATTATGTCAAAATGAGATTCACAAAAGTAAAATCAAGCATATAGTAAATAAAAATAAACATTTCTTGGGTTTTTAGTCACCAAAATAAAGCTCAAGTAGCATGGCTAAAAAGAAGGACTTTAATGTTAGGAGATGGTTAGCACTCTATCCAGGCATGTTTCCAGGCTGCAGTTACAACTGAAGGATTGCAGTCAAAAATATCTCCTTCAAAGTAAACGCATCTGGTGACCGTCTCAGATAATGTATTTTGCTGTGCACGCCATCAATGCTATCTTATGCTTTCAGTGGGTGAGAGGTGGAGGTACACCCTGGACAGGTCGCCGGTCCATCGCACAGAGACAAACAGGACAAACAACCATTCAGCACAATTTAGAGTAGTCAATTAACCTAACAGTCATGTTTTCAGGCTATGGGAGGAAGCTGGAGTACCGGGAGAGAACCCACACATGCACAGGGAGAACATGCAAACTCTAAGCAGAAAGACTCTTGGCTGGGAATCGAACCTGGAACCTTCTTGCTGCAAGGCTTTTTTTGATCCAGTTGTTTTCTTTGTCTACCTTCAACATATTTTTAGCTGTTTATGTTTCAGCTTTCATTCTTTTAAAATAAATCTAAAGTTTGACACGAGGTGTATTTATCTCCCCTTTAAGAAAATTGCTACTCATTCCACTAATGTAATGTTGGATTGACTTTCTCAAAACATCCTTTTTGATGAATGAACCTTATTTTATACCCAAATGTCCATTTTAGCAGCTTTAGTTTGGTGTTATCATTCTGATCATCATCAGTACTTCATCACTTGCAGCGTCATCTAGCAGAGCTGCGTTATCAGCCTCTTTATCGCCCTTTAACAGCTTCATTGGGCCAAATCCTCGCTTAAAGGCCTTCTTTTGAATCCCATTAACACTGTTACAGCATCCTGTATGTCGATATATCTGCACCAGCCTCCAGAACCGGAGTTGAGGCCAGCTGTTCTAACTGCAGTCCTAAACTTGGCACCCAGTCCTGCTGAACAGCTCAGCCTCCGCAGCGCTCATCACTCCGGCAGACAAACAACGGCAGAGGCGCTAACTTACCATTGCTGCGCAGATGTCCCGTTATAACAGCGCGCGGCTCCTGATAATGTCCGCTGCCTCCTCAAAGCCTCGGTGTCACCGCTGAATTCAGACGCGGAAATGAGCGGCGTCACCTCCTAGTTCTGCTCCTTCGCTGCGCGGAGGATTCACACTTTCCACTTCTTCTTCTTCTTCTTGTTCTGAGCGACTCTCTCTAGCTGAAGAGTCGCGCGCGCGCTCCACAGCAGCTTAATCGATGTAAGCCAAGCGTGCACGCGCAGCAGCTTCCTTCTGACGTCACTGCATTCCAGCGCGCCCCAGCAGCGACGGTGCGGCTCGGCGCGGCGGCGCGCCTCTTGTAAAGGAGAGGAAAATAACTGAATGAACTCATGTGAAGTCCAAGAAATTATCTAACTGGCCCGCATGCGTTTGTTCCTTTACAGGTGCTGGTCATAAAATTAGAATATCATGAAAAAGTAGATTGATTTCAGTAATTCCATTTAAAAAGTGAAACTTGTATATTATATTCATACATTACATACAAACTCATATATTTCAGATGTTTATTTTGTTTAATTTTGATGATTACAAATGACAACAAATGAAAATCTCAAATTCATCATATCAGAAAATTAGAATATTACTGAAGACCAATAAAAACAAAGGATTTATAGAAATGTTGGCCAACTGAAAAGTATGAACATGAAAAGTATGAGCATGTACAGCACTCAGTATTTAGTTGGGCCTCCTTTGGCCTGTATTACTGCAGCAATGCGGCGTGGCATGGAGTCGATCAGTCTGTGGCACTGCTCAGGTGTTATGATAGCCCAGGTTGCTCTAATAGTGGCTTTTAGCTCTTCTGAATTGTTGGGTCTGGTGTATTGCATCTTCTTCTTCACAATACCCCATAGATTTTCTATGGGGTTAAGGTCAGGAGAGTTTGCTGGCCAATTAAGAACAGGGATACCATGGTCCTTCAACCAGGTACTGGTAGCTTTGGCACTGTGTGCAGGTGCCAAGTCCTGTTGGAAAATGAAATCTGCATCTCCAAAAAGTTGGTCAGCTGCAGGAAGCATGAAGTGCTCTAAAACTTCCTGGTATGTGGCTGCGTTGACCCTGGACCTCAGAAAACACAATGGACCAACACCAGCAGATGACATGGCACCCCAAACCATCACTGACTGTGGAAACTTTACACTGGACTTCAAGCAACGTGGATGAAGTGCCTCTCTTCTTTTCCTCCAGACTCTGGGACTTTGATTTCCAAAGGAAATGCAAAATTTACTTTCATCAGAGAACATGACTTTGGACCACTCACCAGCAGTCCAGTCCTGTTTCTCTTTAGCCCAGGCAAGACGCTTCTGACGCTGTCTGTGGTTCAAGAGTGGCTTGACACAAGGAATGCGACAGCAGAAACCCATGTCTTTCATACGTCTGTGTGTGGTGGTTCTTGAAGCACTCACTCCAGCTGCAGTCCACTCTTTGTGAATCTCCCCCACATTTTTGAATGGGTTTTGTTTCACAATCCTCTCCAGGGTGCGGTTATCTCTCTTGCTTGTACACTTTTTTCGACCACATCTTTTCCTTCCCTTCGCCTCTCTATTAATGTGCTTGGACACTGAGCTCTGTGAACAGCCAGCCTCTTTAGCGATGACCTTTTGTGTCTTGCCCTCCTTGTGCAAGGTGTCGATGGTCGTCTTTTGGACAACTGTCAAGTCAGCAGTCTTCCCCATGATTGTGTAGCCTATAGAACTAGACTGAAAGACCATTTAAAGGCTTTTGCAGGTGGTTTGAGTTAATTAGCTGATTAGAGTGTGGCACCAGGGGCCATCAATTTTGAACCTTTTCACAATATTCTAATTTTCTGATATGATGAATTTGAGATTTTCATTTGTTGTCATTTGTAATCATCAAAATTAAACAAAATAAACATCTGAAATATATGAGTTTGTATGTAATGTATGAATATAATATACAAGTTTCACTTTTTAAATGGAATTACTGAAATCAATCTACTTTTTCATGATATTCTAATTTTATGACCAGCACCTGTAATTACTTGAAACATAACGATCCACAACATCTGTTATTTATTGACACTGACTAATTATGAACAAGGCGATTCTTTGTAGCAGTGCTTTGTATTGTTGTTTGAGGCCAAGGGCAGCCACTTTTTGGTCTTGTCATATTTTGCAAGTTTTGAAGTCTGATCTCAAGTTTGAACATTTTGCATATGTTGTACAACATTTTGCACCATATTTATATTTTTTGCACTGCACTGAACCTTTCCATATCAATGCCTTTTGCACCATGACTTTGAACTGGTTTTCCTTTTCTCCAACACTGTCTACATTCTTGATCACTGCTGCACTTTATAAATAGTAATGTTCATTTTACTGTTGTAAGCTGCTCATTCCCTGTTGAAAGCTATATGCATCGAAATTTCATTTTTTTATATACTTTGTGTGTACATGATGACTAGAAAGGGTCTAAATCTATGTCTAAGTTATGTGCAAATCTTATGCATGTCAATGTTTTACACATTACAGAGAGGACATATTGACTATTTATCACTCTTTTTCAGCGCTGCTTAGAAATTTTGTATAGATTTGATTTGAGGGCTGTCTGATGCTTATTGCCATTGTCTATAGCCATAGTGTTAGAAGACCCATTTGCACCCAGGCTTCAATTATTTTTTCAGTTTTTTTATTGACACCTCTTTAAAAAAATAAAGAATAAAAAATAACAATGCAAACTGATGCCCCAAACACCATACTTCACAGCCTTGTTTAATCCTGACACCTCATTTAATTGAGACTGTGGTAAAAAAAAGTTCATGTTATGCTGTTTCTAAACATTAGGTGTTGCTTCCCAACAGTTAAATGCAGGGTTTTCCTCTTCCTTTGTCCATCTGAGTATCATCTTCTTCCTTTATCTGCCTTTCACTGTCTTTTTCCTTCTCTTTTTAATATTTTTAGATAATTTTATTTCTTATTTTCACGCATACTTTTTACTTCTAGTAATTTATTGCCATCTTTGGTCTACTCAAGCAATGGACACTATGCATCTTCTTTTGGTTTAATAAATATTTTTACTATAATTGTTTTTTGTGGTCAAAATGTCTCATGTGACTGTATATACTGATCTACCTTTAACTGTGATATTTCCTTATCGTCTCTAACCGAATTTAGCATTTTGGTTTACTGTATTTTTTTTCTTTTTATCATTTCTGCAGATCTAGTCTTTACTATAACATCTGTTTAAATGATTTTCATAAGCATTAGGGACTATTAACTTTTTAACATCTATGTCTTTAGTTTAATGACATGCATTAGTCTGAATGTGTGCATCGATATTTGTAAAGGCTTGATGTTTTATGTAAGTTATTGAAGCTGAATGATGATCTCATCCCTGTTGTCCTTTGTCTCCAGTCACAATATATTTAACAACAGAATGATAGCGCCATCTAGTGTCTTTTTCCTCTCCATCTAGGTTTTGGTCTGGTTCCAGGATTTTAAACTTTTAAAGTCCAAAAAAGTTTTTGCCCTCTTCCATCTAAATAAAACATGTTTACAGCCACAGATGTTGCATAATTTAAATTGAGACGATTTATAATATATCCCTATGAATACTCAAATAGTTATAATCAATCTAAAAGGTTTTGCAAAAAGTGGAGTGGATACTTTTTCTTTTATAGGACATTGTTATGTTTTAAAATGGGAAGAAAATGTGAAGAAAAAACAAAAAGTTAAGTTAAGCAATTTAATTAAAGAAATACTTTATTTGTCCTAAAGGACAAATTAAATGTTCCTACCTAATCACAAAAGAGTGATAAAATGAATAAATCTGAAATTCCAATATAATACTTTTAGTGGCATTTTGTAGTAGAACTTCAATAGAAACTTTGACATTTATAAATCAGTCTTTGGGGTTTTGTCGTTAGCTCCATCTAGTGGTCATATAAAGAATGACACCAACCGACAATAAATGCTTGAGTCCCATTTGTTTGTACAAAGATAAAAGGGTCAGAATTTTGTAGGGAATATATATAAAGTGAACAACAACAAGCTGTAAATAATATCACTATATTATTAACTTTAAATCAATGCAAAATATGAAGATAAATGAGTGCAGATACATTCTATCCATCCACCCATCCATGCATCAAAGGGATCAGAAAGTGTCTTTGTTCTGCAAGAGAAATATAGTTCCTATGTTTTGAAGAAAGAATGTAGAAAAATAAGCCGTTATAAACACACTGAGTTACGATAAGTACTTTGTAATTCTGGGATAGATCGCCAACCTTTAGGTTACAGGATATAATTTCCTGGTTCTTGGAAGAAACACTGGAGTATCATTATAACCAAATTACCTGTGGATTCTGGTTCCTAACATTGTGATCTAGAAAATATCATAAAGTCCAGAGATTGACCTCTAATCTCTTTATAATTTGTAAAACCTGGTCAGATTTTGTAAAGTAACCTACATTTTCTTGAAAGTGAATTGCATATTTTCTATAAAAATAAATGAATACAGGAATAAAACCTGTATATTTGAAAAAAGTACCCTGCAAATTTCAGCAGAGGTCAACATTGGTGTACAGGTGCAGTAATCTCTTTCCAAACAGTAAACTTTTCATTAAACTCTGAAAAGTTAACATACATGTAAGCTCTGAAAACTAAGCTATGGGTTCTGGGAAGTAATTCCTAAATATATAACAGAGAAGATCTAATATTTATCCTTCAAATTCATTGGAACTAGTCGTTGGTTACAATGACTACCGTATATACTGTAAGTTTAAAAAATACACAGCTACTATAGTCTTTAAATTATGTACAAAAAACGACTAAAACTTAATGAAGATCACTTTGTTCTGAAACATACTCTAAATGACAATGAATGATTTAACTTGCAGATTACAAGAAAGCAAGATTTAAATTAAGTTAAATCCTTTTTTCTCAGTAATCATTAAACACATTTTTTTTTAAATTGAAAATATGTTCTATTTTATAATTTAGAGTGTTATATTGCAACTTGAAAGTCAAAAATCAAAAAGAATAAATAAACATAATTTTTAAAACTATAATAATCACCTAGATCCCAGTCAGTGAGTAGATGTTATGATCAATAGAGGATGTAAGGTTCTCTATAGTAAAAAAAAAAAAAAGTAAAAAAAAAAAATAAATTTTATTCTTAACACAAAGAACAATAAAACACAAAAATTAAAGTTTCAGTAAAATACAGCACATGTTAATAAATAC